TGGGGCGGGGCGCCGCAGCCGGCCACAGCCCCCACCATCCGAGGGGGCTGCAGTACCCCGAAGTGCCTCGCGGTGCCCCCGCGCGGGGGCGTGCGGCGGGGGAGGGTGGCGGCGGCGCCTCTGTCCAGCCTCCCGTTGCCATGGCGACCGCGCCACCGGTCGTTGCCAGCCATCGCCCAAGCAATGCCCCCCTCCCCCGCCCGCCCCGTCCTCGCCCGTCCTCCTCGGGGCGGGGGCGCCCCAGCCCGGCCCCAGGGCCCCAGAGGGCTCCCTCCTACCCGAGGCTACACATGACCCAGGGTCAGCCGGCAGGGCGATGGTTCGGGCCGCGGCAGGGTGGAGGAGGGGCGGGGGGAGGAGGCAGGGTGGAGCCGGGCGGGCCGCGCTGGGCTGGGTCGATAGCGCAGGCAGTAAGGGTTTTACAAGACAGTGTGGATGTGCGGGGACGTCACCCCCCGACTGAACCTGGCGGCGAGCCCGGCACTCGGCCCGGCCCGGGAGAGAGCCGCCTGCCACTGCTATCACCCCGGACGGCGGGGAAACTTTCAAGCCCCCTCCTAAGTCTCACGGGCTCACGATTCACTCCACCACGGTCTCCGAGCGGAGGCCTTCCACGCGCCCGCCGCGCGCCGGCACGGTGACCCAGTGACCAGAACTAACGAAACAGACTCCAAGCCGACTGGGCGGCCCGCCCAGACGGCCGGGGAAGAGAGAGAGAGAGTTTGGGAGCTTTGCGGAGGAAGGGGGAGCGGGGGGATGAAACTTGGACCGTTTCCCGCAGCCGGGCGGGCCGGGCGGGGCCGGCGCGGCGCAGAGAGGGTGCACTCGGCGCGGAGCGTTGCCCCCGCCTGGGCTCCGCACATCCTCGCAGTGTACGGCTCCATCGGGGCGCGCCGTTTTCGCACATAACGTGCGGCTGAGGTAAGCGGCCATGGGCGGCAGATGTGGTGGCAGGGGTGCGCGAGGGGAGCGCCGAAGGGAGGAAGGGGGGGGGGGGGCGCAGGTCGATATGCGTTGTGAATGAGTGCCGCGTGCAGCCGGTCCACCACGCGGGTCCACAACGCAGCCACCCCCCCCCCCCCCCCCCCCTCCTGTATTCACCCGCACTACTTCACCGGGTCCCTGGCAGTCCATGGGTATAGGGGAGCAGGATGGCCAGCGCGGCGAGTAGCTAAACCGTTGCACCGGGTGGCGAACACGACTCAACTACGTGCGCAAGCCTTCCTTCAGGTGACCTAACAACCATGCGTGCTTCACACGTTCCACCAGTGTGCCATACTATAAACGCGTTTTATTTGAGGGATCGTCCTCGGCCAGAGAGTATCTCATAGATTCAGTCATCGGCAAAGTTCAGGGGCTTGGCGCCTGCGAGACTCTAGGTAGGCCATCCCGCAGTACCCGCATACATTGCAGGCACGATGTTGCCTATCCATCAGGCGCCATTAGAGCGAGGCTGTTACGGCGAATGACCGACGTGGGGCGTGTATTTTCTGGATGATCCCCCATGCCAGGGACAGTCGGTATGGACTACAGACTACACGGTTTACAGCATTATTTCGCCGACTTCCCGGGACACCAGGATGACACTGCGAGATGCTTGACGTTGTCGTCACCCCGCCTCATCTCACCGCCTTTAGGGTGTATTGATTGGGTCACCACCTCCCGGGTGGGGCGCCGGGCTGGGGCACCACCAGGATGCAGAGCCGGACTGGGGGGCCCGGGGCCCAGGCAGGAATTTGCCTACGTACAGTGGCAAATTGCCTATATACAGGGGCCCAAGCTCGAAAAGGGACCGAAATGATACCCTTAAAGGGGGGCCCGGCCGGGATTTCCCGCCTTTCCGCCCGGACCAGTCTGCCTCTGCCAGGATGACAACGCGAGATGCTTGACGCCGTCGCCACGCCCCGCCTCATCTCCCCGCCTTTAAGGTGTATTGATTGGGTCACCACCTCCCGGGTGGGGCGCTGGGCTGGGGCACCAGGATGACAACGCGAGCAGCCCGACGCTGTCGTCGCCTCGCCTCATCTCCCCGCCTTCAGGGTGTATGGATTGAGTCACCACCTCCCGGGTAGGGCGCTGGGATGGGGCACCCGGATGACAACGCGAGCTGCCGGACGGTGTCGTCGCCTGGCCTCATCTCCCCGCCCTCAGGGTGTATTGATTGGGTCACCACCTCCAGGGCGGGTCGCTGCTGGGCCGCGCCCCCTTCGCTGGGCCCCACCACGACGAGCCCAACAACGGTGACGTGCGCGGCGTCGAGGGCTCTCGAGACGGAAGAAAAAAGCGACTCGACGCCACCTAATGAAAGTCGTGTCTGTACTCACTCTGGGCGACAGGAGGATCTTCTTCTTCATGGGGGAGGCGGGCGAGTGCGGGCTCTGCGGGGGGCGCGCCGTGGCCGGCGTCACCGCAGAGGCCCCCGCCGTCGCCCCCGCCGAGGCGCCCGGCGTCCTCACGCCCTGCGAGCGGCAGCGCACCTGGTCGCGCATCGCCTTCCGCAGCCGGGCCTCCTTGGGGTTGTACACGTAGTCTGGGAACAGAAAGGGTGAAAATGACGAGGCTGAAAGACGAAAGTAGCTGAACCATTGTCCAAACAATTCCTCCCATGAAACCTTGAAAAATGGACCGGGAGGAAAAGAGCAATTCGTAACGTAGCATAAGATGCACTGGTGATCAATTGAGGTGCTCGGGTCACGCAGAGCTGTTTGAATAGAAATTATCAGACAATATCCATCCAAGCCACTTATGGGCATAAAGCATCATCGAGCATCATAAGCTCTTATCGCGAGAGGCTCGGAGGTTGATTTTTAAGTGTGGATACAGAGTTCAGGAAACGCAAGCGTGATGTTGACGTTTCGCAAGCTTCACGCAGCCAATCAGGAACTGACTTTCATCACGCTGGCCGTGAAAATCACACCGGGTGATTTTCACGCCCCGTGTGATTTTCGCGCCTTTGTATCCACCTTTAATACGTTTCAATTTCAATGTTACAAACGACGCCAAAGTAAGGTAGGCCTACTGTGTTTATTTTTTTGTTTGTATTTCAGGGGGCGGCTGGCAGTCGCGTCAAGGCACTCAGATTGGAGCTGGCGCGCCGTGGCGGGGCCCGGGCCGAGGGCGGCGTGATGTAGACGTTTCGCTCCCCATCACTTGACCTGTTGCGACGACCGCGCCGCTTTCTCCATAAAATATGAAGCAATCGTTCGCGCCGCGCCGCCACGCCACCGCCGCCGCACCCCTAAGGGGGCAGGGGGGAGAGGGGGAGGGGGTCCGAGAGTGGAGGTATATAGGGGGCCGCGGGGGCACGCGAGGGTGCCGAGTGCCGACATTGTCGAACATCTCGGGACAGGAAATCGTTACGACAACACGACACCGTCGTGCTCAATGCCGTGCCGAGCCGATCTGTGTGGCGGCACAGACCCGGCCGCCTGTGAGTATAGCGGGCTCTAGGGAAACAAGAATAAGGCTGCGTGGGTGAGGGGGGGAGGGGGGAGGGGTAGGCACTTAAACAATGCAGAAAGCAAGGTGTGTTTTGCCGCATGTATTTCTCAAAACCATATCCCGGTCGCGTGGTCTGAATTCGTGTAAGGTTATATCACGCATTGATACAATTTTAATTCAATTGAAATGACTCAAATGTCGCAATAAACCTTGGTAAAAGTGATAACATGGTGCTAATTGCAAAGACGCACTGAATAGACGAACGACACACAAACTAAACCTACTAGACCGCCGCTCATCTTCTGCTTTGTTTCGGGGATGGCGCTACTCCACGGCAGAACCCCCACCAGCCCTGCTTCTTTTCCTTCCACTTCTCGGGCACCCCTCGCATACCCTCGGCGTCGACCGGGACATTGCACCGGCCCTGGCCGCGGGGCAGCGTCAGCGGCAACGTGCCGGCGCCGGCCACCGCAAGGAGGGCAAGTAGAAGGGAGGGGCTCGCCGGGGTGGTCGGCATCCACCGCAAACAGCAGTTGCGGTTGTGTCGGTAGCTGCTAGTAGCTGCTAGTAGCTGCGGTAGCGGCTCCCACCCCCATATGCCCCCGGGCCGCACGGCCGCACCGCCGCACCGGGCCGGGGGAAGGGGGGTGTCCCTGCGGGCCCCGTAGGGCTGCGGGCGGGGGAGCGGGAGCGGGGACCGGGAGCGGGAGGGGCAGGGGGGACCGGGAGTAGAAGGAGCGGAGCAGAGCGGAGCGGCACCGCGCCGCAACGGCCTTGCCTAGCTAGCCTCCACCCGGGGCCTCCGAGCCGCGCCCGGCCGCGACCGAGCGCTCGGGGGAGGGCTCGGGGAGGG